AWATATATATATAATTTAGAGACAAAGTCCTGCTAAGTTGCTTTAGAACCTTGCTAAGTTGCTGAGGCTGGCTTTGAACTTGCAATCCTCCTGCCTCAGCCTCCCAAGCCACTGGGATTACAGGTGTGCTCTCCATTTCATTTTTGAAAGAAAAAAAATAAAAATAAAAAAGCAATGGTCGCCTTACTACAGAAAGATAGCATGAGGAATCCCTTTGGGCGCCGGCACTGGTATGCATCTGTCTTGACGTGGATGGATGGAGGTCATACGGGTCCTGGGCRTTAACGGTCATAGAATCATGCACTCAAGAAAAATCAGCTTCACTTCGTACTCATTTAAAAAGTTAAGGTTTTTTTTTAAAAGAAAAATAATTAATGGTTGCAATCCATTAAATTGATTTCATGATCACTTAGGGGTTCTGAGCTGTGGAATAACAGTCCCTGACTTGGAACCCACGAGAGTGGTCCCTGGGGGCAGCCAGGGCCATTGCTCTGCAGAGGGTGGGTGTGCGTGGGAGAGGGCGAGGGAGAGGGCGGAGGCCTCACTTCCTGACCTTCCTCTCTCCTTTCTGCAGTCACTTCCTGCCTCGGTTGGTTCAGCCTGGAGGACCCAGGTAAGGAAGAGCCGGGTGAAGGGYGGCCTGGGGCTCCTCAGGGGCTGGGGTGCTAATCCACCAGGCTGTGGGGGACCTGCCGATTAAGAAGTTGTCACCTGCACCAGAGCGAGCCCCACCACAGCGGAGAAACATGATAGATRTTTGTGAACTTGGCAGTTCCCCCACCTTTCACCATGCCCTGTTTTTCACACCGGCTGGGAGAGCACTGGGGAGAAACGAGGCCACAAGTCTTGTGAAGTCACTGTGCCATCAGAAGGAGTTGGCAGGTCCTGGGCTGGGACCTGGACCCCACACTGACATCCCAGCCCTGAGCTCCAGCAAGTTCTATGAGCCTCCAGCTCCCCACCTGTGAGATGGGGAGCAAGTCCCTYCCCCGGGGGAAGATTCGAGGAGTCAGCCAGCTGGGCGCAGGGTCTGCMAAGTGTCCTACCTCAGTCAGGTGTTGGATCAACCTGCTTTGCATCCAAGTAGCCAGGTGACCTTGGGAAGCCCCCAGCCTTGCACCCAGGCCCCAAGTGTCCTCATCTGTGGGAAGAAAAAGTGTAACCCGTGGTTCCCCACCAGGAAAACCTTCTACCTCAGAATCCCCCAGAAGAGCCTTTTACATTGAATTGTTTGTTTCCTTGAATAAGCAATTCAATAAATTGCCTGGCAATTCTTTATAAAAAGATCTGCAGTGGAGCGTCTCACTTCCATCACTGTCCCCATCTGTCCAGCCCCTCCTCACCCAGTACCCCAGGTAACAGCACATTCTTCTCTAAGCTCTTGGTACATACACAAATATATATACAGTGAGCCCTCCGCGTCTGTGGACTCAATCAACGGCAGATAAAAAAAAAAATGTAGCCAGGTCTAGGATGGCTGCGTCTCTACTGAAGTGCACTGATTTTTTGCTTGTTATGAAAATGACATGGCATTTGCATTGTATCAGGATTGTGTATAATCTAGGGATGACCAAAGYCCATGAGAGGACGCATGTAGGCTGAAGGCACATTTTATTTATTTTTCCACTGCAGGAGATGGAGCCCAGGGCCTTGCACATGCTATGCAGACCCCGCCTCTCACTAAGCTAAATCCTCAGCCCCCCTTTGCCATTTTATGTAAGGAACTTGAGTATCCATGGATTTTGGTATCTATAGGAGGTCCCAGGACCAATCCCCCACCAAACCAATCTGTGCTTATGGGTGTCTATATTTTTCCTTCTGCTCATGAAGCATTATATAAAATCACAAAAGCCACGTACCTACTTATGTCCCAGCAATTCCACTCGGGGTATTTACTCAAGAGAAATGGAAATTTGCCCACACAAAGACCTGAGCAAGAATGTTCACAGAGCTTGATTCATAGGAGGAAAAACCCAGGAGCAACCCAAATGGTGCATAAAAAATCAAGAGTGGCAAATCCACACAATGAAATATTATTCCGCAATAAATGGGACGAATCACTGATACATACAGCAACACGCATAAACCTCAAATACATAAATAAATGAGGAGGGAAAGAAGAAAAAAACAAAAAGAAAATAAAACCCTTGCTCTATGATCCTATTCAGATGACATTGCAGAACAGGCAAAACTAATCTCTCATGACAGAAAACAGATCTGTGGTTGCCTACAGCTACCTTCAGGGAAATTAACTGTCAAGAGACATGCAGGAACTTTCCGGGTGATGGACGTGTCCCATATCTAGGTGGTGGTGGTTACATGCTTGTATACATTYGTCAAATTGCTTCAACAGTACTCTTAAAATGAGTGCATTTCACTATACGTAAATTGTACCTCAATGAAACGGATTTTAAAAGTGAAAAAAAAAAAAAGATGGCAGACCCCATCTCAGACCTATGGACACAGAATCTCTAGGAATGGGTGACTRCACTGGACAGAAGGGACCTAGAATATCTTACCCACTGCTCCAGGTTTGGAAYCCTAGCTTCGGGGCCTCCTGGGTGCCCCAGCTTGGGTTTCTAGAACKTTCCTGGAGTTCCCCAGAAGGGACGAAGCTCAGAAGGAACAGGCAGTGGGGCAGGCGGGAACCCRGCTGGCAAGGGGCCCAAAGGGGAAGGGGACAGTAAGGGCTCCAGGGGAGGGCCCTTCCTCTTCACCCCATTGACCTGCCGCCACTTCTTGACCCCAGATCTCCAGGTGAGGCTGACCGGCTCCAACTCCAGGTGCCAGGGCCAGCTGCAGGTCTTGAGTCACACCAGGGCCCGGTGGCACTCGGTGTGCAGTGAGAGCTGGAACGGGGCGCTGCGCCACGGGGAGGTCTCCCAGCAGGCTGCCAGACTCTGCCAGAAGTTGCGCTGCGGGGACTCCTTGGGCCTGACCACCTACTCTCACTTCAACACACCCCAGAACCAGATCATCTGCCATGGACCCCGGGGGTCCTTCTCCAACTGCAGCACAGACTCATCATCCAAGTGCCACCCGCTGAGCCTCGTCTGCTTAGGTGGGTACTGGCCAGCCGCACAGACACCTTGGGCCGGGCGCCTCCCCAGGTCTGTGCTCTGGACGTAGGCAAGCAGGTGGAAGAGAAAGGGGTCCCCAGTTGATAACCGCCCCCCAGTCATTTATACTGCTGTTGGCACTTGGGGGATGAAGACACAGGCCCTGTTCCTGCCAACTGCTGACAGCCTCATTCCTCACCTCCACCTTCCCATCTGTAGCGTGGAGGACTGCCACCTAGCGAAGGTGAGGGTCAGGTGGGCGTATTGGGCACTCCTGTCACAGGCTCCGGATCTTCCTCACACTGCAGGCTGCCCCCCAGCCCTCCCCACACCCCATCCTTCCCTCCTCCACCCACCCCTCCCTCTCTCACCAGAGTGTCTCATTACAGAGCCCCAGACGACGACACCTCCACCCACAAGCCCCCCGACCACCATGACTCCAGAGCCCACAGGTAAGCGGTTGGGAGGCCTCCTGGAGGGTGCACACATAGCAAAGAAGAACCCAGGAGGCCCCGTCACCTAGGGATTTGGGAGGAATCTAGGATCAGCGTGCCCTGTGCGGTGTCTGGGATGCACCACCTCCCACGCCTGTTAGGGATTCTCTGCTGGGGTCCAGCAGCGGGCTGTGCTTCAGCGGGCACAGCGCTCAGGACGGCTCCCTTCTCCCGCTCCCCTCTCTCAGCACCCCCCAGGCTGCAGCTGGTGGCGGGGCCCCGGGGCCTGCGGTGTGCCGGCGTGGTGGAGTTCTACAGCGGCAGCCTGGGGGGCACCATCAGCTACGAGAACCACCACGGGCTCCAGGGCCTGGGAGACCTCCTCTGCGGTGCCCTCCAGTGCGGCTCCTTGAAGCAGCCTCCCGAGGCCAAGGCAGTAGAACCCCAAGACCCAGCAGAGCGCTGGGCACGCAGGCTCTTGCCCATCCGATGGCAAATCCAGAACTCCAGCTGCGCCTCCCTGCACGAGTGCTTCAGGAAAGCCCCGGCCCAGGAGGGCGGCCAGGCTCTCAGCCTGGTCTGCTCAGGTGAGTGAGCCCAGCCAAGCCCCAGGCCTCCTGTGGCCCGGAAGTGGTCATGGGCAGATGGCCAGACAAGCTCCGGGAAGCCCTGTGCAGCCCAGGGTACAGAGACACCAGAGGATACAGGCACACTGGGCCTGAGACTCGGGGAAGGACAGGAGCGGGAAGGGGGACAGGACTCCGTGACCCTGGCTCAGCTGCCCCCTGGGGAAGTAGCTTCGGCAGGGCTTCCAGGAGGAGGCAGGGCCCTGGTGGGTTTGGCAGAGCAAAGGGGAGAAAGTCCTGCAGGGAGCACCTGATGGGTGGGCCTTGCAGGAGGGAATGTGAAAGTCCCCAGGGATGATGTTGCAGGATCATGAGGGCTGGCTGGGGGGTCCCTGAGGCCTGGGGCTAGAGCAAGCCCCCAAGAGGGCTCTCTGCCCGGGTACCTGGGTCACCTCTGACAAAAGACAGAGGTGGTGATGGTAATGTGGTTGAGGCAAGAACCAGGGAGGCTGAGTCTATGGGACTCTAAGGGGCCAAACCAGGATCAGTAGACAAAACCAAAGAGACCATAGTTCAAAGTAAGGCAGAACCATCGCAGCAGGCGGGAGGCCGTAGGCCCACATGTGAAGCCACTCACCTACCTGGTTCCAGGACCGCCACCTGCAGTCTTGAGTTTTCACTGTAGGAAGCAGAAGCTGCTACTATTCCCATTTCACAGATGAGGAAGCTGAGGCTCAGACAGGTTCAGTTTCTTACCCGACATCACAGAACATAGACGGGGTTTCTCCTCAGGCAGGGCCAATCCAGACAACTGCTGCGCCTTGGCTATTCGAATTCGGTCCCTCTGTGGCAGTGCCAGCACCACCCAGGATCTGGTGCAATGCAGAGTCTCGCCTTGGCTGGACCTCCTAACTCTGGGTTTCGGCAGGGTCCCAGAGATTCCCGCACAAAGATAGGAGGCATGGCTCTGGACCCCTGGGTTCCCCTGTAAGCAGGGCTGCCCCCACCCCCACGGGGTACCTGGTACAAACTAGTAAAAGGCTGTCCCCTCCAGGCAGAAACCCCCTCCAAGGGTCTCTTGGTCTGAGGAAGGGACATGGCCTGGCCCCCAGCCCCTCGTCCTCAGCTAGAAGCCCTCATAATGCAGACTACAAGCTGCAAAACCATACCCAGGGGCCTTGCCTTTGAAATTTCTTCTAAACAGAAGATTTACTAGGACTTTGAAGATGGATATTACCATGGAAACTGGCCCAAAGCTGGTGAGATCACAGCTCACTCTAAACCGAGCCGAGTGGGCCTCCGCCAAGGGCTCCCATCTCCACCCTGCCGAGCAGAAATGAACGAGTCTCCAGCCAGCCCCGAGTCCCTGACAGTCCAGCCCTCAGGGCCCAGGGCCTGGCAGTAGGATCCCTGGGTTCTGCCCCCTGCGAAGCACGAGGATTTAGAGCTGGGTCTCAGCTCCCCATCCCTGCGCCTCAGTTTCCCCCTTCTGAAAAGCCCTCTGTCCCTGCGCTGCGTCTCAGGACGGACGCTGGCATCCAGAGGCCCCAGGGAGTTTGGTCAGGGCAATGCTGGGAAGAATGCCAACGGAAGGAAGATCGAAAGGAAGCATCTGCCCCCTCGTCCTCACAGAGCCTCCTCGCTGCCAGGGCCCCAGCTTTGCCGGTGGCACCGGCTCCAGGGGCCAGGCACGTGGGCTAGTGCCAAGCCTGCCACCTCACCTCTCATGGTCTTCACTCCCCAGATTTCCAGCCCAAGGTCCAGAGCCGCCTGGTGGGGGGCGGCAGTGTGTGTAAGGGCACCGTGGAGGTGCGCCAGGCCACCCAGTGGGCAGCCCTGTGTGACAGCCATGTGAGCAGGGGCCCAGCTCGGTGGGCGGAGCTGTGTCAGGAGCAGAAGTGCAACGGCCTAGTCTCCCACCACCCGCTGGACGCCAGTGAGACCTCCAGTGGGTTCTCCTGTCCCCAGGAGAAGCTGTCCCAATGCCACGAACTTCAGGAGAAAAAAACCTTCTGCAAGAGGGTGTTTGTCACATGTGAGTTGGCCACAGCCCATGGTGGGGGGAAGGCAGGGCTGGACTTTCCTTCTGGGACCTGGTTAGTGAGCATGTCTCTGAAGGACGGTGGAAGAGGATGGTAAATGGCGGGGGTGCAGGGGGCAGGGGGGCGTGTCAAGGAACAAGGGACAGCTTGACCAGAGCTCAGGCAGCTATAAGCATGAACAATGAAGAGGGGACGGGCAAGGCCACAGGCAGATCATCGTTAGGCAATTGATGGGTGACAGAACTCTTCCTTCTGTGTCCTACTCTTCCAGGGTGGAAACTAGAAGATCAACGGGCAGACAGTATATATTTACTACATAAAGAATAATTAATAATTCATAGGAGAAAGATGGACAGATGGATGGTGGGTGGATGGATGGTAAATGGTGGATGGATGAATGGTGGATGGTGGATGGTGGACAGTGGAAGGTGATTGGTGGACGGATGGATGGTGGATGGATGGTAGATGATGGATGGATAGAAGAACGGTAGATGGTGGATAGTGGATGGTGATGGATGGTGATGGATGGTGATGGATGATGGATGGATGGTGGGTAGTGGATGGTAGTGGATAGAGAGCTGGCTGCCTATTGGTATGTCATATATTGGTACAAGACGGTGTATGAGAGGAAGTTGGTCACTTGTAAGTAACAACAGCTGAGAGTTGATGACAAGAGTGGCCAATAGCTGGATAGTCAACTCTAGATGACAAGTTGTGGATGGGCCAATGGGTAGCAGGGACTCCTAGAGAAGGAAAGAGGGWCAGCCACATACAGAATCCCCTTCCACACATACTGGTGAGTTTCCAGGAGGAGCAGGGGCATTGGGGTAGCTGCCCTCAGAGTGGACAGCTGTGGGTCCTTCAGGACTGGGACTGACGGAAGCCCTCCCTTGCCCAGGCCAGGACCCCAACCCTGCAGGCCTGGCTGCAGGCACCGTGGTGAGCATCATCCTAGCCCTGGTGCTCCTGGCCGTGCTGCTGGTCGTGTGTGGCCCTCTCGCCTATAAGAAGCTGGTGAAGAAATGTAGGTGCTGGTACCCAAAGCCGCCTGCCCCTCATCACCCCATCTTTCCTCTCCTGCTCAAAGTTACAGAATGTCAGGAAAATCATACTCTCCAATTGGCCCATATCTGGGGCCCAGTAGGGACTCACTACAGGCCAGATGGAGGCTGTGGCCATCCTCTGGGATGTGGCAGGCCCCAGCTGGGTCATTAGCACAGCCTCTGGCGCTGGAGACACAAGGCCTAGGTAGGCCCAGCTCCACCAACCATATGTCAGCTGCTTGCGGCACTGACTGAGCCACTTCCTCCCTGAGTGCTCATCTACGCAATAGGTGACTGCACCCCTCCCAGGGCGTTGAGAGCCTTGCCCCGCAGAACTAAGGGGAAAATTACTCAGAGACAAGGAAGTGAGATTAAGGATGCTGAGAACAGAGAGCCCGGAGGTGGGCAGTGCTGGCTCCCTAATGCTCACCCAGGTCTCAGTTCTGGCTCTAAACATCTGTGGTCGCTCTTCTGGGAAACCAGTTGCATCGGCACCCTCCTGGGCACCCTCCTTTGGCACCTGATGACTCCGAGTCCCCTCCCTAGGAAGTCAGAAAAGGAGGCCCTAAGAGACTGGAGGGGCAGGACCCACAGTCCCGCCTTTGGGCCCCTCCCCCCTCCTCCCACCATCATGCCCTGTGCCCTGACCTGATGTGCTTTCCTGTCTGTTACCCAGTTCGCCAGAAGAAGCAACGCCAGTGGATCGGCCCCACAGGAATGAACCAAAACAGTAAGTGTCCCCAGAGGTAGGGTCCCCCCTCAGCCCCAGGACTCAGGCCACGGGGACAGTCAATGCCGATCATAGAGCTGGAGGCCACTGGAGGCTTCTGATCTCCACCACATTTGGTTAAGGTGTGACCGTGGCCAACAGACATCCCCACACCCAGGACGGCTGAGGCTTCTTCAGGGGCAGACAACTGAGTGGTTTTTGCCTCTGAAGCCTCAGACACCATGGTGTCCCCCTGTCTCTGTGGTTGACTTAAACAGCAGTCCCTATAGCCTTCACCGACCTCAGCAAAATTCCCCAACACAGTGACCAAGAGACGCTGACAGGCAGCACTCACAAAAGGGACTGCATGATCAGAGAGAGCCGGAAAACCAGGAGTTAAGCCAAGCTAACACGGTTCTACGTTTCAGGACTTGGCAGAGCCTTCAAGGGCATTTTTGCAGTGTTTGTCTCCAAGGCAGGGGAGCATTAAGAAAGGTTGCCCCAGCTAATTTTGTCATAGAGAAACTTAAAATTTCAGTGCAACCAGTTCGCTCCAGCCCTGGTCTTCAGCCTCTCCTTCTGGTCGCAGCCAGCACTACCCTAATGGATCAGAGCCTAACTCTTTCCTGACTCCCGTTCTGCATCCTTCTCCCCTTTACAAGTCCAGGGCTAAATCCTTCAAGAAGATTCTGAAATTGTTCAGTCTTTTTTTTTTTTTTTAATAACATTTCAAAATCCCTGGAGGACAGGGATTCCATCTTCCTATCACTGTGCTCCAAGTCCCTCTGGGTAAATGCCTATGGACGGACTGACGGCCTCAGCTGGCCAATTAGATTGCGAGCCAACCTCAAGATACTCCCAAAGTCTGCCACTACCCTGCTAGCCTGACCCCCCCCCCAGAGAGAAAGGACAGGGAGGTGCGTTAAAGGGACTGTGGGTGTTCCTGCCCTCCCCACCCCACCACCTAGTGGGAACAGGATGCGCTCTGGGCCCCTACTGGAAGGAGAGAGCACAGATCTAATGAAGCCATCCCCTGCATCTGTGCAGTGTCTTTCCACCGCAACCACACTGCGACCGTCCGGTCCCAGGTCGAGAACCCCACAGCGTCCTGTGTGGATAATGAGTACAGCCAGCCCCCCAGGAACTCCCACCTGTCGGCCTATCCAGGTGAGCAACAGGGGGCTCCTGGGCCAGCAGGCAGAGCTGGACCCGTCCTGTCCCCGATGGTCACGTGATGTCCTTGAAGCTCCAGTCCTTGTCCAAAGAGAGAAAGGAGACCCCAGGGGGCAGGGGATCAAACGACCCACTTGACAGCAGGTCACATCAGGGCTGTGGGAGGGACATCTTCACAGACCTCAGCTGTCCCTTTTGAGGCCTGGACCACTCGTCTAGAGAGAAGAATGCACTTGGATGGATGTCATTAACCCCAGCCTCGCTGGGACCTAATGGGACTATTTCCCTGCAGGGAGGGCCGTACAGGCTGGATAGTAAATGAGGCTCCTCAGATTCCTTCAGCTCGAAGAGAGCCATTAAGTGGCCTGCGGGAGCCCCGAGCCAAGGCTCCTTGCTGGTGCTGACAATTAAGCCCCGGGGAGCCTGGAGTTCAGCATCATTAGCCATCGCTTGGCTGATTTGATCAAAACAGATACCAGGGGCTGTCGCCAGCTCATAAAGCCCCTGTGATCTTCTGAAGGCCCCTTTCTTTCCCCAGCTCTGGAAGGGGCCCTGAATCGCTCCTCTGCCCAGCCTGACAACTCCTCTGACAGCGACTATGACCTGCACGTGGCTCAGAGGCTGTAGAAGGTGAGTCTGTCCCTGGTCTAACGCCGGCTCCAGGATCCCCATCCTGGGGACGGCACCAGGGTGAAGCTGCCCTCCTCATCCTACTCCCATATGTGAACAGGGGGCCTGAGCACCTCGATTCTCAAAAAAGGGCAAGAATAAGCACCAGCAACTGAGGCGACGGGGCCAACCTGGAGACTAGCAGAGGAATCGTGGATCTTATTTTTTTTTCCTTTAAGAAAGAGTGAGAGAGATAATTTTTTAATATTTATTTTTTTAGTTTTTGGCGGACACAACATCTTTGTTKGTATGTGGTGCCGAGGATCAAACCCAGACTGCATGCAGGCCAGGCGAGCGCGCTACAGCTTGAGCCACATCCCCAGCCCGGAATCATGGATYTTAAATCCAACTCAGAAGACAACACAAAAAGATCCCTACATGGAGAAGCCCCTGGCAGCAGGACAGCCGCTGTCCCAAGACTGAGCTGGTGTGGGCCAGTCCCCAACTCCCCGAATCACCTCCACAGAGCTTTCCCCCACCGCCCCCGACTCCTGTCCTTCTCACCCCAAAGAACTGGGAACCAGGGACGAAAAAAAAAAAAAAAAAAAACCTAGAGCCAGACCAATCTGTTCTAAGGAAATGATCGTCACCACTTGGAAGCGATGCCCCCGTTGCCACTCCCAGCAGGACTTGGCCTGGAGAGACTGGGGTGCCTTTCCCACACGTCTTCTGCCCTCCATGGCAGGCCAGCTCTCAGCCCCGCTCACCCCCAGGGGAAGCCAGCTGCAACAGCTTGGCACCTTYGGGGCACCATCGCCTTGAGAAGATGGCACCCAGAGGCAAGCCCTTCCAGGCAGACTCGGGGTGTCCAGAAGGGTCCTGTTTCCTAAGCCTGGGAAGCCCCTTCCTCGTCCACTGGGGTGCAGCACTGAGTAGAATCTGGCCTTTTCCTTGGACTCTGGCCACGTGAAGAACGAGGAGKAACTCGCATGTGGTGGGAGGCTGTTTCTCTGTGTAGTTTAAATCTGTTCTTTGTAAATAATGCTTTTTCTACTTCCTGAGAACTTAAGGGTTCTGGCTTCTTCTGTYCAGGGTCCACTCCTATGGATCCTTCTGGGAATGCTCACAAGAGAGACCTCCAGGGGAAGTCTGCAGCTGTCATGGTCATAGCTGCACAAAGACAGCTCAGTGCGCTCAGCATCTACCAGCCAGGGAGGGGTGGGTACCCAGGCTCACATGCCACACGTCTGTGACTCCCCAGGCCCCACATCTGAAGATGTCTTCCTCTCTAGAAGGGCTATCAAGGGCAATGATGCCACCCCAGAGGCTGGCACAAAGGGGCACCTAGTGAGTCTTGGCCCATTAAGCTTTCAGTTTTAAGTGGCAGTTGAAAGTCCCAAGCTAAGGAAGTTTCAGCCAGTCACAGTTAACCTGTAACACGAGAGTCAGAGAAACAGCCTCATGTGTTCCTTTGAATTAAATAATTCCTACAGCTAAAATAGTCTCCTCTGCCACTTGGAGATCCCAGACATACAGCTAAATCCAGCAGCACAGTTCCTTAACTTCAAGGGGAGGGTACCTAACCAGGAGCCCCACATCTGATTCAGGGAGGGGCTGTGCTAGGCCACTGGGCCTTTGGCATCTGGCAGCCCCATCAAAAGATGAAGCAGCTTGGTGGTGACCAGTCCTGGGTGGGGCCCTTCTCCACTCAACACGGCCCTGTACCTCCTGGGAGCACAGGAACTGATGATCCAAACCATAACAGCCAACTCTGGGAGAGAAAAAGGGGAGACACTGTGGTGTGTGCAGCGGTGGGTGCAGAGTTGGAGTGGGGGGGCAGCACTCCAGAAAAATGTCTGATCKGCGCTCTGCCCCCATACACCTTCCACCCAGGTTATGACAGCCTAGATGGGTCACAGGTGTGCCCAGCCATGCTGGGAATCCAGAAGCAGGGTCACCCACTACCCTAATGTTACTGGACAACCCCTGGAAGCACTGGCGTGCAGCCCAGGACCTGCTACCTTTGCCTCGTGTTGAGGAAGGCAATCCAGAAGGAAAGCTCCCTTAACCTCTGAGCAACAGGCCTCGCTTCCAAGTTATCGGCATTCAGGGACCTGGGGTTCAGGACGGGCCTGGGGGTTCAGGACGGGCCTGGGGGTTCAGGACGGGCCTGGCATCACAGCAGAAAGGACGTTTCAAAGGGCCTCACCCAAGTATCCCCACTAGGCTCAGAATCCCTTCCAGGCTACATGAAGGGTCTGTCCCCTGTGCAGCCAGAGCCCCCCCCCCCAGGTCTGATGAGGGCCTGAGGAACGCCCRAGTGTGCCCCACCATCTCAGGCGCGCAGCCCCAGAAAGGAGCATGGAGAGCAACTGGTGGCAGCTCACAAGTCTTTCCCCTTAGAAAGCTGGTCCTTGGTGCCCCTGCTGCTCTGGCACCCGACTAAGGCAGGTGACCTGCTTCTGTGGCCACAATAYAGTCTATAGCTTTCCCCTACAGCTGGGCCATCCTTGGTTCTTCCTGAAGTCCTGTGTCCTCAGCCGCAGACACCCGCAAGGTGAGACCAGTGTGCAGCCAGGACAAGGGCAGTGAGCACTGGACTGGGCTGGGGGCGCTCAGCCATCCTGGAGATGATTCTGGCACCACAAAGGCATGGCAGAGTCCTGCAGCCTCTGGGATCCCACGGACCCGGGCCCGTCCACCTCTGCCCCAGGACCTGAGCCCCTGTCCACCTCTGCCCCCAGGACCTGGGCTCCTGTCCACCTCTGCCCCCAGGCTGGACAACCTGGCCACCGTCCCACCTGCCCTGCAGTCTCCTTCCTATTTAAAAGTAGGGCTGAAAGGGCCACCAGAGGCTCAAGGAGAAAACGTGCATGAGCACAACAATGCTGTGCAGCCCTGCGGGGGACATGGTGTTGGCGGCTGGGCACCCCATCGCCCTCCACAGGAGGCCTGCCCTTGTCACCTTGTGGGAAAGAACGGCAGAAGGGCTGATTTAAGGGACCATCAAAACCTGGTCTCCCAACCCCCGCAAAGCTGCTGGTCCTGAAGAAAGCACAACGTCCTCCCCGGCCTCTGAAAACCAGCAGTGGAGCACAGGGAAATGCCAGGRAGAGGGCAGGCGGGTCCTTAGTGACCAGCCAGTTTAATGTCCCCTGCCTCTCTGAGCAAGCCCTGCAATTCCAGCTTCGAAACTGGATGGGCCATGGCCAGGTTGACCAGCAGACACTGCTGCCTGCCCAGCAGGTGGCAGTAATGTGCATGTCCCAAGCTGGGCTGGGGCCCAGGCGCCCCCTAGTGGGAGTCGGTGRCCTTGTATGAAACAGCTCTCCCCCAGGACAAGGGACGGGTGCAGGCTCCGCCCAGAAAATACATAATAGGAACCAAAGAACAGGAGGAAAAGGACGCCAGAAAAGCCAGGCCCAGCGGGTGAAGGGCTGGGGAGGGCAGCAGCTCAAGAGTGACAGCCAGCCAGAAGGTGTTCTGTGGACRGAAGCTAGAGGCCTTTCAGTAGAGCATGCTTCTGAAGGCTGCAGAAGAAATTCAGGACCCCCAAGAAGCCACATCTCCATTTCTAAGCCCACCAGAGTCACAACACTACAAGTTACTCATGGAAGTTTATTATGGCAATTAATTACACGAACATACAGGCGGTCATTCATCCAGTCCAGAAGCACTCAGCAGACTCCATTAGTGATTTCTCTTCATAAATAACTTACGAGAAGCAAGCACAGTTGGAGAGGAACTGGCAGCGCTAATCTAGCATCACGCACACCCACAGATGGCCTCTGGGCCCTGCCTATGAGTGAGGTGAGGTGAGGTTTCCTCCTTGGCCCCCACACCCCCAGGCCCACCAGAGGCTGGGTACCCGGGGAGTGGATGTCTCAAGGCACATACAACTTCCTAACCCGTAGCAGCTCCAGGATCCGCCGAGACCTGGTTCACATCTGGTACAAAGTTAATGCTTCATTCGTCACCCCCTTTGGCCTAGTGTAGTCATTTTTACTRCTGCACATGTTTAAAAGCCCAGTGTGCTAGGGCTGCATGTGACCGTCACAATCCCTGCCCTTTACATTCTGAAGACGAGAGGTGCAGAGAAACTGACGCCGGTGTAGTGATGGTGTTTTGGAAAGCACCATTTGGGAAGTCACTGTTCGGGTGTCTTTTSACGACGTCTACAGGGATACGGGGACCAGGAAGGCATACATGGGGAGATGAAGGACGGAGGGGGCTGCTTGAGAATGAGATTCAAGGCACTAAAGGAATAGGTAGGTGGGTGGGTGGGCCTCAGAAAAGCCAGCCAGAAGTGGGGGGCCCTGAGAAGGAAAGGGTGGCTGGGAGGTGCCCCAACTCCTAGCTGAGCCCAAACGTGACCACAATCTCCCAGGCTAGAGCTTCTCCATTCCCCCAGCCAGAGGGTCCAAGATGACCCCTGGATTCTCCAACCTGCAAGCAAGGTTAGGGGTCGGCTTCACATCCCAGCCCATTCGCTATGCAGGCCGCTGATTCAGAGCAGCACACGGAGCTTCTGTCCCCAGCCTACTGGGGTTAAATTATGGCTTCACAGGACATAAAATCACTGTTTTTCCCTAATTCTGTTCTCTCCCTCCAGACTACCCCTAGCTGGGGTATGTGAGGCAGAACATTCTTGAATGGTCTTACACCAAGAGCTGCATCCCTTGGATTGGGACTCCATGTCAAATATGCCAAATCCCAGGGGAGAGGTAGGGGGTGGGCGGGGTGGGGATCCCAGGCCACCTTGTCACTGAGATAACTCTGCAAGGAGTTCAGATGTCCTTGGAAGTGACACGAGAGGATGTGCACTAATGCATGCACACGCCACTAGCCCTGGCTCCCGCTGGCCTGCAGGACCTGCAGCCTAGAGCCAGTTACCAACAGGAGCAGCTCCCAGGAGGGCCTCTGGCCAGAAGGTCAGCAAGTTCTGCGAGCTTCTGTCATAGCCAACCTGTCACACACACCCTCAGTGCCTTTGGGGGTCCTGTATGCCCCTGGCCAGG